CTGAGGGACCCCATAGAGAAGAGAGGCAGATGATGAGATAAACTGGCCAACAGACACTGAAAATGACCTGGATTTCAGATATGACTCAAACCAACTAAGTGCTGTACCCTTTATGCCCACCCAATGTTCAAGGCGTGACAGAAGGATATTATGATCAACTGTATCATAGGCAGCACTAAGATCCAATAAAACCAAAACAGTAGCAAATCATTCATCACTTTTAACAAAGCTGTTTCAGTACAGTGGTGGGTAGTGAAACCTGATTGAAAAGGTTCAAGTATATGAGTTAATTTAAAAAAAAAGGAAGTAATTGTGACAGGACAACTCTTTCCAGAACTTTTGAAAGAAATGGGAGTTTTGAAATAGGACGATAGTTATTCAAGCAATTAATATCGGCATTGGGTTTTTCAAGCAATGGCTGGACAACTGCATGCTTCAAAAATGCAGGGACAGTGCCAGAAACTAAGCAAGAATTAATCATTACTTGAATACTAGGACCAATTGTATTAAAAGAAACTATAAAAAAGTCAGAGGGAACAGCATCATAAATTGAATTTGAAGATTTCGTCTGCATCACTAATTCCCTTAACTCAGAGAGAGACACCGGCTGAAAGCTGCACAAGGTAGCTGAAGAAACTGAACAGTCGACCAAAGAGCTAGAACAAAGAGGAACAAATGAAGATTGAATGCCAGCAATCTTTTCAATAAAAAATCTCTCACACATATCTGGTGATTGTTCAACTTCATATGAGATGCGAGGATTAATTATTGAATTTATAGTGCTAAATAAGATTTTAGGGGTATGAGAATGTTTATTAATAATATCAGAAAAGTATTTAGCTCTAGCTATTTTTGCTGCCTTCTGAAAGTTCTCCAGGGATTGATCGGATATACATCGGAGTGGTTTCTTCTTTAAATTATAAAAAAAGTAAAAATATGAATGTTATTATAATGTTAAACTAAAACAATGGAAAAACCCTTAAGATAGCATGTAGAAAGAAAAAAACATCTTAAGCGTGCAGAATTAGTAATAATAATAATTAACGATTAATTGCCGCTTTGAACGATTATGTAATTGTGGCATCCATAATTGTAATCGCGATTAGAAATTTGATTAATTGTGCAGCCC